GGACATCAGGGACACCCTGAGGGGAACGGGACACAGGGGACGGGACACCCGAAAGGCACTGGGACACCTTGGGACAGCGGGACCTGAGGGACAGGGACACCGGGACACCGGGATGTGGGGGACAGGGACACCGGGACACCGGAGTACGAGGACACTGGGCTACTGGGACATTCTGGGGACTCTGGGGGTACTGGGACATTTGGGGACACCAACACACAGGACACCATGTGGGGACACGAGCGGGACAGGCACAGGGGACATGGAGGGACACGGGTGACACCGCAGGACAGGACACGGGGGACAGGAGAGGGCCAGGCCAGGGGGTGGCAGTGCCGGGGACACCGCGGGGGGAGGGGGACACGGCCGGAGGAAGGGGACACGGCCGGAGGAAGGGGACACGGCCGGAGGAAGGGGACACGGCCGGAGGAAGGGGACACGGCCGGAGGAAGGGGACACGGCCGGAGGAAGGGGACACCGCGGGGGACACGGGGGGGGCCGGATCCCGGCGCCGCTTCCTGGAAGGGAAGAGCGGAAACGGGGCCGGGGCTGGAGCCGTTCCCACGGAGGGGTGGGACCCCCCCGGGGGGACACGGGGAGGAGGGAACAGGACCTCCAGGGGGGACACGGGGGGGGACAGGACCCCCAGGGGGGGACACGGCGCTGGCACCTCCTTGGGGGGACATGAGGGGACAGTAGGACCCCGCCAGGGGGACAAGGGAGGGGCGGGGAGGTGCCCACCCCCCCACCCCGCACGCGTGTGCAGCCCCCCCGTGCTGGTGCAAAGGTGGGGGACACTCGGGGACACCGGAAAGTGCCCGGGGGGGGCCCGGGGCCGCCCCGCCCCGCCGTGACTCACCGGGGAGGAGCCAGAGCCCCGCCGGGCACCGGCACCGGCACCGGCACCGGCACCGGCATCGGCACCGGCACCGGCACCGGCAGCGGCAGCGGCAGCGGCGGCGGGGAGCCCGCGGAGAGCGGGGCACGCCGGGGACACGGGGACATCAGGGACAGGGACACCCCGAGGGGAGCAGAACATCCCGGGGACACGGGGACATCAAGGACGGGGACACCCCGGGGACAGCGGGACACCCCGGGGACAGAAGGGACAGGGACACCCGGGAACAGTGGGACACCTCGGGGACAGCGGGACAGAAGGGACAGGGACACCCCGGGGCGAGCAGGACACCCCGGGGACAGCGGGACATCACGGAATGGGACACTCGAGGGACACCGGGACACTCCAAGGACACCGGGACAGCTCAGGGCCATGGGGACATCAGGGATGGGGACACCTGAAGGACACCCGAGGGACATCAGGGACACCCTGAGGGGAACGGGACACAGGGGACGGGACACCCGAAAGGCACTGGGACACCTTGGGACAGCGGGACCTGAGGGACAGGGACACCGGGACACCGGGATGTGGGGGACAGGGACACCGGGACACCGGAGTACGAGGACACTGGGCTACTGGGACATTCTGGGGACTCTGGGGGTACTGGGACATTTGGGGACACCAACACACAGGACACCATGTGGGGACACGAGCGGGACAGGCACAGGGGACATGGAGGGACACGGGTGACACCGCAGGACAGGACACGGGGGACAGGAGAGGGCCAGGCCAGGGGGTGGCAGTGCCGGGGACACCGCGGGGGGAGGGGGACACGGCCGGAGGAAGGGGACACGGCCGGAGGAAGGGGACACCGCGGGGGACACGGGGGGGGCCGGATCCCGGCGCCGCTTCCTGGAAGGGAAGAGCGGAAACGGGGCCGGGGCTGGAGCCGTTCCCACGGAGGGGTGGGACCCCCCCGGGGGGACACGGGGAGGAGGGAACAGGACCTCCAGGGGGGACACGGGGGGGGACAGGACCCCCAGGGGGGGACACGGCGCTGGCACCTCCTTGGGGGGACATGAGGGGACAGTAGGACCCCGCCAGGGGGACAAGGGAGGGGCGGGGAGGTGCCCACCCCCCCACCCCGCACGCGTGTGCAGCCCCCCCGTGCTGGTGCAAAGGTGGGGGACACTCGGGGACACTCGGGGACACTCGGGGACACCCCCGACCCGTGCGGGGCGCGTGGCCGCGTGTGCAACGGGGGGTGTGAGTGTGGCTGCACATTCTGGGGACACGTGGGGACAGGGACACGTGACACGCGTGTGCTGGCTGTCCCCGTGTCCCCATAACCCCAAAGCCCTGTGTCCCCAAATCCCCATGTCCCTGCGTCCCTGTGTCCCCAAATCCTTGTGTCCCCATGTCCCCGTGTCCCCAAATCCTTGTGTCCCCAACTCCTTGTGTCACCATGTTCCCATGTCCCCAAATCCTCATTTGGGGTCACCCCCGTGATCCAACGGGGCATTTTTGGGGCCAAATCCGGGATTTTCCTGCTGAGGCAGCAGGAGGGGTTTTGGGGGCGCTCCCCCTCTCTTTTTTTGGGGTGAAATGTTGGGGTTTGGGGTGTTCCCCATTTTCCCCACAGATTCCTGCCTTTGGGGCCCCATCAGCCCCAAAATCCGGGATTTCCATCCCTGTCCAGGCCAAGCCAGGGAGAATCCACCAAAACCCCCCGGGATGAGCCCAAAAACCCCAGAAATCGCCCCAAAAACTCCCAGGGGCAGAATTCCCTCGGGGATTCGGGGACAACAAAGGTGACAGAGATTTGGGGTGGCACCAGAACATTCCAGAGCCTCCCCGCCCAGGGAATTCCCGACCCGGGGGAGGCTCCGGGGAGAGAGGGAAAAAAAAAATCGCCATAAAAAATTGGTGGAAAAGCGGGAGCCGCCTGTTTTTTCCCAGCCGGGGACGCCGATCCCGATTTTCCAGCCCCCGCCCGGATCCACCCTGGCAGGAAAAACTCCGGGCCAGGCCCGGGACACGCAGGGAGAGGGGGCAGAGCTGGGAAAAAATAGGAAAACATTGGAAAAAGTTGGGAAAAAAATTGGAAAAAAATTTGGGAAAAATCCCTGCTGGGGCTGTGTGGGATTTTGGGGGGATCCCACTTGGGGTGGAGGGTGGGATTTTGGGATGGGGTGAGCGGAAAAATCCCGCTGGGAGCGTCCAGGTGGAGCTGGGGGGGGGCGGGAAATTCCCCCCAAAAAAAGGATTTCAAAGGGATTTTGGGGGAAATGCAGCGGGATGAAGGCAGGGAGAGGGACGGGCCCGCAGCAGATGTTGGGATCGGGGCGGGGGTGGCGATCCCGAATCCCCGATCCCGCCCCGCAGCTGCGATCCCGGAATTTCCACAATTCCAGAACCTTCCATGCTCCCCCCCCGCGCCGGACCCAGCGGGGCGAACCCCCGGGAAGGGGGGAAAGGGATAAAAAGGGGATTTTTTCACCCCAAAAATGCGGGCGGGAGCGGGGGGTGGCGGCACCGGAGGCGGCCGTGACACAGAAATTCCCATTTCCACTTTTTCCGCCCCAAATCCGGCGGCTCCGAGCGGAGCTCAGCTCTCGGCGCGGGGCGGGGGGAGAGAGAAAGGAGGAGAAATTTGGGGGGGGATCTCCCCCTTCCTGGGGGTCCCGGGGGGTTCCGGGGGTGGGGACGCTCGGTGACAATTTTTGGGAGGGATTCCCGGCTCCGAGCGGAGCTCAGCTCCCGGCGCGGGGCGGGGGGAGAGAGAAAGGAGGAGAAATTTGGGGGGGGATCTCCCCCTTCCTGGGGGTCCCGGGGGGTTCCGGGGGTGGGGACGCTCGG